GATGCACAACCTAGCATACCATCCTCTAAGAGTGGCACCCGTACAACCATCAATTTTTAGCAGTGATCCGATAGAATTCCCAATTTTCCTCAGTAAGGATTCATCATAGAACTCCGTGGGGAGTTGTGGCAATCGTACCCAAACCGCAGAGACAGTTTGCTGGGCATCTGGAGCCACAAAATTTGGTTCCCAACGCTTAATCGACAGGAAGTGTCCATTAACGAACCATGGCCTATTTGTAGTACATTCCGCATGTTTTTTTCTTGTGTGAAGTTAACAATGTAATAATCATAGCCCAGATCTATTAGAGGGAATTGTTCCGTAGGTTTCCACAACTCTTGTATTTTTGCTTTTAAGTAATGGTGAACTATTCTTTTTCCAAAGAGTTTAATAATCAAGTAGAATTTCCATGGATAGTGAAGTCTTTCTTTTTCTTGGTCTGTGAGTGTAATTGCTTTGATTCCACCAACGTATGAAGATGACTTCTCCTGTGGTTGGGTAGTAGTTGCAGTACTTGAATCTTGCATTTGTCCATCGTCAATGGGATCCATTTCCAAATCAATTTGTTCTTCATTTGCAAGCAACTTTTCCTTGAAGTTGAGTGGGGGACTGTTTTGCAGTGTGTGTGTGAATATTTTTGGTGAGATGTCTGGTGGTTCTGGGTGAATTTGCGTTGTTGTTTCTAGGCACTGAGTATTCGTGTTTGTATAGAGCATTTTTTTCAATTTAGCCAAATCCATTGATTTATTCGACTTGTGCAAAAAGGCTTAATCAGGTATTTGGAATAAAATTATGTAAAACAACAAGTTTACATTAGCTACACAATAGTAGTACTAATTGTTTATATTCAATTGTGGAACATAGAGATGGACGGAATGTTGCATGACTTTAGATGGTAAATTTCATAAATGATAGTGTAAATATGATTTTTTCCCCACTTAAGTCATAACTATATTTTCTCACGTAAAAATTATAACTTCCACTAAGTCACATAAAAATTATAGTGACTGGAAAATATAACTTGCTGTAGTATTTCTTATCCATACTCCAATTATTTTTATTTTCAGTCTAATAAATAATAACCAGATTAAAATAGGAATAACTCAACCAAATACTCATATAATTAAAAAATAATAATAAAATTGAATCATTCCCTCAAAATATAGTATACTTTTATTTTTATTTTCATTTTTATTCTTCAGATTTTCATTATATCCAAGAGCTCTCAGATTATTCATACCTTTTATTTCTTTTTTTTTTTTTAATCAGAATCACATGCGAAATACTCCAAAGAAAGAAATTACTTGGAAAAGCCATACATACATACATATACACACACACCACATATTGTCTATCTGACAGAATTAAAGTATAGTTTGGTCCATGTACTATGAGAAAATATTTAAATATATCATTTGTTATACTTTGAGTCTAAATATACCACTGCTATAATATTATTGGTTCAAATATACCCTTCTCCTGTTAAGTTTGTCCAAGGTTGACATCCAATCCTATGTGGCATTGATATTTGATGAGCTGGATGTCACATGGCATGCCACCTCAGTGCCCCTAATCCATATATAAAAGACTAAAATTTAAAATACAATATTTTTTACGGCAAAGGGCTAAATATACCCCTCTACTTTCAAATATTGTTTACTTGTACCCTTCGTTATACTATTGGGTTATCCATACCCCTACCGTCATACTTTGGAACAAAAATACCCCTATTGTCATACTTTGAAACAAAAATACCCCTATTTTGGATAGAGTGCCACGTGGCAACACCAGATTATAACGACCAATTTCTCTTTTTTACTTGATCCGTTTTTAAAAAAACCCCACAAACCGACCTCTATTTTCATTTTTTCCAGTTTTTTTTATTTAAAATTTCAGTTTTTAAAAAACGAAAATATTTTGTTAAAAACAAATTTTTTTTCCTGTTTTTACAAATTTGTTTTTCCAATTTTTCCAAAACAAAATTCTTTTAAAAAACTGAAAAAATAAAAAATAAAAATTCAAAAACGAAAACATTTTGTTGAAAATAATGTTTTCAATTTTTAAAAAATGAAATATTTTGTTAAAAAATGAAGATATTTTTTTTCTATTTTTACAAAAAACAAAATCAGTTTATACAAAAAAATTTTGAAAAATGTTTGTTTTTCATTTTTTTCATTTTTTTAAAGATTTTATTTTTGTAAAAACTGAAAAACAAATTTGTATAAACTAGATTTTTTTTTTGTAAAAACAGAAAAAAACATTTTCGTTTGTAACAAAATATTTTGTTTTTTAAAAACTGAAAACATTATTTCAATAAAATATTTTCGTTTTTGAGTAATATTTTTTTTTTTCATTTTTTCAGTTTTTTAAAAGAATTTTGTTTTGTAAAAACTGGAAAAACAAATTTGTAAAAATAGAAAAAAAAAAATTTACAAAATATTTTTGTTTTTTAAAAACTGAATTTTTTTAAAAAAAACTGGAAAAAAATGAAAATAGGGGTTGTGTTGTGGGTTTTTTTAAAAACGGATCGAATAAAAAAATGTGTCGTTTTGATATGGTGTTGCCACGTGGCACTCCATCCAAAATAGGAGTATTTTTCTTTCAAAGTATGACAATAGGGGTAATTTTGTTCCAAAGTATGACGGTAGGGGTATGGATAGCCCAATAGTATAACGGAGGGTATAGTTAAACAATATTTGAAAGTAGAGGGGTATATTTAGCCCTTTGCCGTATTTTTTATGGTGGCAATAGTGATGGAGAGGAAGAAAATTTAAGTGGTGGAAAAAAATACAAGGGAGAGCTAAAATGGATTAGAAATGCTGAGGTGGCAAGCCATGTGACATTCATCTCATCAAATGTCAGTGTGAGGTAGGATTGGATGTCCACTTTGAACAAACTTAACAGAAAATGGGTATATTTAAACCAATAGTATAACGATAGAGGTATGTATATAGACTCAAAATATAACAAAGGGTACATTTAAACCTTTTTTGATAGGACGAAGAATATTTGGCTCTTTGGAGTTTTTTCCATGAGATTCTGAAAAAAAAAATGTATGGATAATGAGAGAGCTCCCGAAACAATAATGCAATTAATTTGAATGAAAATTTTTAAAAGGAAAACAAAAAAAAAAATACAAGTTTCGTGTATTTTTGGGGGAATGATTCACTTTTAGTATTATTGTAATTTATGTATATACGTATTGGTTTGGTTTAGTTTGGGTCGGACCGAGTCGAATCATACCTATTTTAATTGAATTATTATTTATTAAACTGAAAATAAATTTAAAAAAAAACGTAGAATAACAAAAAACTATCGGAAAGTTGTTTTTTCGGTCATTATGATTTTTGTGTGAGTTAGTAAAAATTTTATGATTTTTATATAAAAAAGCATCAATATATGACTTTGGTAAAATCATAGTTATATGACCATTTATGAAATTTACACTCTAACTTTAGCAGGTTAGCAATTTACCCACTTTTCAGTTTCCTTAACCGAACAGAGTACCTATATACTTATCAAAGTTTTTCTCTCTCTTTCTCTCTCTCTATATATATATTTATTTATTTTTTTAATTTTTTTTTCGTATCTACTTTTGCCTCCCGGCCCTTCATGGGTGAGAAGTAATCTCCTTTAATTAATATTAAGTTAAATACTTGATTGACTAGTAGTATCATAAAGAGTTGAATCTGGACTGGTTAATTAATCGATCTCAAGTAATAAATTATAAACTAAACTATGTCAAATGGATCGGAAAGGGACAATAAGAATTCTGCATACCACTGTGGTTCTAGTGGATGACATAATAATAATAATAATAATAATAATAATAATAATAATAATAATAATAATAATAATAATAATAATAATAATCGTTCTAAGTGATATCATCTACTCCAATAAATTTCTTAAGCATACACTCTCCCTTATGAGGAACTAAAAGACAAAACGAGTGCACAACATTAAAAATTGCTCCTCTTTTTAGTTGCCAATTTCTTGTCACTATTATATAGCAGTAAGCTGGAAGGGGCAAAGCAGTAATATTAAAAAACCATTTTTTGCCAATAATTCAAGCCTGATATTTCAATTTATGCACGCCCAACAGCCTTCGAGACCTTTATTAGCTGAATTAAATAAACTTTCACCGCCAAATTTCCACTAACTAAATATTTAACAATTGTACATAACGATTACATTTTCTATTTGTCAAAGGCCACTGTAGTGAAGGATTGTGTAAACTAAACCAAGTAGGGAAATAAAAGCTGTGAATTATTTAGCAAAATAAATTAATAAATTCAGAATAATCTTGAACACCCAATAAAAAGTCTAATGAAGATAAAATAGACCGACATCCCAAAAGAGTCATTAACTTACTCGATAAGAGAATTGCAGTGATTTAATTTACTCACATAATAATGGAACTTGTATTATCTTAATAGTAATAACTAGAGGTGGACCCAGGATTTGAGCACGACGGGGGCACCGTTAAAAAGGGGGTCTATGATCAAAAGGGTGTTCAAACTTCAAAAATTATAAAAAAAACTTACTAAACAAATCAAAATTAAGAGTGTGCTAATAGTTAAAAAAACTGAAGAAAAACCTCAAATTCTTAATTAGTTGTCATTGCTGAGTCAGAGTTGACGAATATCCGCTACTTTATCAAAGTGATTGTTGAAGAAAGTTGTGGAAGAAAGATTTGCATTTTCTACTTCTGGAGCACGATAAATTGGATTTGAGGTTTTTAATTTTAAGGGAGTGATTTGAAAAAGATTAAACTTAAGTAAGTTGACTATTATATATTAAAACTAAACTACTTCTGAAGCGCGATAAATTGCAATTTAAAGCTTTTAATTTTAAGGGTGGGATTTGAAAAACAATAAAATTAAGTTGACTATTATATATTAAAACTAAACTATAATTGAATTCAAACAAAGATAAAAGTAAAAAGTAAAGCAGGAGAAAGTGGTGAAAATGGGTTTAGAACCCACGACTACTTAAGCGTCCCCACAAAACCACCCTTTCCCGTCGCCTCTTTTTGTTTAGGGGCACACGAAAAATATTTAAGGGGTCTCAGTTGTATGCAGAGATATATATATGATATAATATAGAGGTCTTGCCGAGGCTAACGAGGTCCCATGACCCCTCAACCATCAATGTAGGTTCGCCCCCGGTAATAACAAAAGACAACCAATTATCAACTCTCATTTTCTTTTTTTCTTGAAATCCATTTATCATTCTAAATGTTTTTATAACGACCAAATGATCTGTTCATCATTAGAAGCCATGGTAAGCTGATTAACATGGAGCAAATTCAAGGAATCATCTCCACCATTAATATCAATATTATTCATGTTTTCTCCATAATAGTTCCATAAATCCTCAGTTTCTTTAGTTGTCGTTGCAGCATTTGCTGAAGTCTTGTAGTCAATGATCTCCTTTAGAGACTGCAGCCTATGGCTTAGCTCAGCCATTTGAGCTTTGAGAACAGAATTCTCTGCTTTCACATTCAAGTAAAGCTGATCCACCATGTTTATGTTAGTCACAATTTGGTTGTTTTCCTCCTTGAGTTGACTCATTTCAGCCATTAGGTCATCCAAATACTTCTGTTTCCTCATTCTTGATCTTCTAGCTGATTCCCTGTTGGATATCAACCTTTTGCGTTTCCTTTGATTTATTACTTGTTGGAGATGATCATCATTTTTGGAACCATAGTTCCTCAATTGGATTACTGACCTTGAAGATGTTCCACTAGAAGAAGCCATAACTCCTTACCAATGGTCTTGCAATTACAATATCATAGTACCCAAATTAGAGTTTAATTTGTATAAAAAGAATTTTTACCCCATTATTATATCTTTTTAAAAGACAACTATAAGTAATTGTTCGTGAAATTAGTTACCTGGAAAATAAGGTAGGCAACCCTGCTACAAAAGGCAAATAACAACTGAAATGTAGTCAAGGGGCTGGGATCTTGAATGAAGTTTAATGAGTAAGAAGAAGGAAACTGAGGTTTTCTGTTTCATGAAAACACGTAGAACCAGTAGAGGAAGACGACTGAGAAGGATTGAACTAAGTGAGTACGACGATGAAGAGTTGAGTTAATGGTAAAACCAGACAGAAGAACTTCACTGATTACTGGAGACATAATCCCGAACATCAAGAATCAAAGCACCACATCTATGCATCAGCAGAGAGACTAAGGCTAATTAGAGATTTCATTCATAACAAATTTTATAAGAAGAGAGTTTCGGCAGGAATATAAAGATATGAAAGAAGTGGAGAAAAGGAAAATAAGAAGGAGAGCAGAGTTGGATGATAGCACTGGACATCCATTTATAGAGATATTAATGCTCAATATGAATGGAATAAAGCAAATATTAAATTCCAAAAAAATTAAAGCAGATTACGTAGAGCTTTAGAAAAGATTATGGTATGACATGAAAGCTTCAAAGAGGGATAATGCGCTTATGCTAAATAGTTTTACAATTTGGAAGGTTCTGTTATACGGTGAATATTTCTGATGTACATATTTTCCGGAGCCTCTTGTGAAAAATGGAATGAATCCATACCTCTTTGCAATACACTTCATTTTTTTGAAAGAATAAGAAGCAACAGATAGAAATGTTAAACCACTACAACTGACAATGGCACCACTCATTCAATCTTTGGTACATTTCTAGCCTGTTTGGCCAAGCTTTTCAAGGGGAAAAAAATGCTTTTTTTCCCAAAAGCACTTTTGTTTCCTAATTTGAGGTGTTTGGCCAAACTTATTTGGGAAAAAAAAGTGCTTTTGGGAAGAAGCAGAAGCAATTTCAGAAAAGCAGAAAAAAGTAGCTTCTTTCCAAAAGCAGAAGCAGTTTTGACTTTTCTTCTTACCTAAAATACCCTTAACAAAATATAGTATATACCAAAATAACCCTTAAACCTAATACTTAGGATATTAATTTATAAATATTTCTTCTTATTTTTAGGAAAACTTTCTAATATATAGTAACTTTAAGGGTGAATGCTTTTATATTTGTTGAAGGAATTTTAATATATTTAACTTATCTTAAAAGAATTAAGTACTTTTAAATTTTATTTTCATATTTTACTTAAATAAAATGATTTTTTTTTAATTATTGCATGTAATAACAAAATTTTGATATTATTTATTTACTTATAATATTAATTATTAAGTAAATCTATTCATGTCCTTATTCGTAATTTGACACTTAAAAGCACTTTCTAAAAAGCTTGGCCAAACACAAATTATTTCTCAAAAGTGTTTTTCAAACTGATTAGCCAAACACAAACTGCTTCTCTCCAAAAGTACTTTTTTCAAAAGCACTTTTGAAAAAAACACTTCTCAAAATAAGCTGATTTCTCCAGCTTGGCCAAACAGGTTCATCTCAAGAAAAGCAAAGACTTTGTAGTAGATACTCCGAGGCATCCCAAGGATTAAAAAAAATAAAAAATAAAACAAAATAAACCAGCAACAAAAAAAGCTGATGAATAGTCATTTGATTCAAAACTGGTGACCACTAATCACTCATCAGTCTGAATCAGAATCTGGATTGATTGACGATCTCACTGTCCTATTTCTTTCACCATATGAATCATCATCTTCTTCTTCCTTGTTCTCTTTGATGATTCCTGCACCAAAGATGGTTTAGTGACTGCATTAAGCTATGGATAGGAATCATCAATTAAAAAGCATTACCTTTCTTTAACAGAAGACCCTCCAGAGTCCGCGTGCTGAAATCATCTTTTCCTCCCAAGTCTTGAAAACCAACCAGCCTATCTGAAGCTACTCCATTCCTGAAAAGCAAAATTCTTTTAGGTGTAGAACAAAAGGAAATGACAACTGTAACCCTTCCCTTTATCCACTGTTTTGATGAGGCCACAAGTTCGTAACTTCAAACTATGTTTGTGAAGATCACGATAGCTCCCTCATCTAATTTACAATAAAATAGGGCACCTCCCTTGCCTAATCAAATCCAAGACCTGAAACAATTAAGACAGTTAAGCCCGCTACTCAAATGTTAACTGCTAGCCAGCCTGCCCTAAACAGTTAATTCCACATGACAGACTGATATTTTACTTCCCTCCGTGCATTCGGCCTGTTTTGACAGATCATTTGATCTACATTTTGAGACCAATAAGATAGGAGAATTCAGGTGCATTCCTCTTGCTTGAAGGAAAGTGCTATTTTTAAGTTCTTAATTTTGCCTTGAAAACAACTGTAGAACCACCCAAACATGGATAAATATATGAGAAAGAACAGAGCAGTGCAAATCAGAGTACCACCCTAAAGGCTAAATAGGCCAGGAGGCACTAACCTGAAGAAGATGACACATGGTAGAGTTTTAATTCCCAGCTTTGTAACGAAAAAAGGAGCATTCTGCATTAAGTTATATGAGACACAATGAGAAATAGCACGAAAATGAGATCCAATGAACAGTCCTCAAAAGGTTATAGAGCCAGTCTTTCTTTCCTTCCTTCACTGATAATTGAAATTTCTTTTTTCGGTTTTACTTGTGTTATCTTCCACGCGTAGGTGGGTGCAGATATTTCACAAAATTTCAGGACTCTTCCTACTGTACATAATCTGAGGAAGAATACAAAAACTCAAGATATATAAACCTCAGCATCCAACTTTAGGAACTTTGTATCAATGTGTCTTGGTGCAAGAGACTTCAAATGCTTATCCATGATCCTGAAAGAGCAATGAATACCATTATGTTTGTGTATGCCTGCATGTGGATATATACAAAGCTAGATTCCTACTCGTTTTCCCTTTCACAAGTATGTATAGCTAGATTATTCTACTCTGAGCATCGATGCATTGAAGTAGGAAGAGAAGCAAGAGAATAGTCACAATCTGGCTAATAAATTTTGGATGACCAGTTAACCTTGTTTAAGCTGTGGGCTGTCACAAACAGAACCTTCAAGATGCAAATTCAGGCAACACTTTTATGGATGTCAAGCTTGTTGCATCAGATTACAGACTAAAGTTCTTGCACTACTGACTTTAAAAAAAACTCGAACTACAAATCTATAGTATGAGATATACCAGAATTATTCTAACTTCGGGAATTACTCCCCACCTTCCTCTCTATCTCAAACACAAGAGGCAGCATACAATAACAGAAACAGGTATCCAGGTTCCAGAAAGAACCCTCCTCTTATGTCTTTTTCTTTTATGTGGGGAGGGCAGTAAATTGTGAAACATGAAGTAAGTCCTTACTTGCAGCGATAGAACTCCCGATGGTAGAAGTGACAAATCACTTTCTCACTACCAGTAACTTCACCCAAAAAATCTCCTTCACTAATCTCTCTATATTCTCCATGCCCTTGCCTTTTTAAAGCTTGTCGCTTCTCTGCTTCTTTCTGTAGAAGAGAGTCCAGACAAAACAATTGTTTAACGATCAGGCACTCCAGATATAACTAACTGTGTTGACCTGCAGGCAAGACAAAACAACAGACCTTGAGAGCCGCAATCCTATCTGCGTGCAATTTTTCCAGCTCAGGGTCCTGTTAAAAGCACAGTGAGCAAATAAACAAGACATACAAATTATATTATGTGCCTAGAAGGAGAAACAGTGATGGATAGCAAACTTACATCCATCAGTTCATCAAGATCTATGTCTTGATTAACAGAAGATGATGCTTGTGCCTTCTCTTGAGCCAGCACTTCCTAAAGGGTGAAGTTGGATTCAAATGATAAGTAGTTAATACCTGCTAACTAAAACTGCTGGATGTTTTGAGGTATATTACAATGATCTAACTAAAAATCTCAAATATTAAGTTCATCCAAAGGAACAGCAAGTAATATCAAAGATCAAACTCCCTTGAAATGTTGAAAACCCCCGTAACTGACTGGTCTTTTCTTAAGCTACTGGAGTATAACTAAATTTTCATCCAACATTACTCATCATATCTATACATGATTCACAAACCATCTTAGCTTCTTAACAAAATAGTGGTCTTAAATGGTTAGTAATTGGAGTGTAGATATTGAAATAAACAGATAAACATAGTAAATAATTCTCAGTATTTCCCATAGAGGTACATCTTTATCCTGAGACCGGAGGAGGCAGCATTAATCTAGCCACACAATAGAGACACAGCTTACAGCTCTGAGTTGCTTGGCTACTGATGTAAATACTGTTTTTGCGCTTTCTTAGTGTCATTTTAATATAATTAATCCATTAGATAAGCTTGAGGGACCAGAAAAGTATACTTCGCATTAACATGCCACAATTACCAAGAGTTTCATACCAATCCTTACTAGTTGTAGGAAAAAGTATGTAAACTCTACTGATTTTGAAAAGACAGTAGGTGAACCCTCTATAATTTTCTTTCTTGATAAATGCACCCTCTTTGATTAATTTGTTGAAAAGCAATTATCCAAGTCTCAAGGAGAAATGGTGCATGCAGATTGTGGCTTCGTGGTCATTAAAACTATTTAAAGCTCCATTACAAACATTTGGATAGAATTCTAGTATAGAATTTTAAGAATTCATTTTATCTATATACATAGAGTTACACCTGTCTTATATGAATACATAAAAATCCAAATTTTACAACAAGAAAAACCACACCTCAATCCCAAACCAGTAGAGATTTGCTATATGAACCTTAATAACACTTCCGCTCAATTTGGACACAGATATCCAAACTTTACTTTATTTCTGCATATAAAAACGCAAACTTTACTCTAATCAAGTTCATTTAATTGACCAAATTAATAAAATAAGAGAGATTAAAATCAGAAGAAAAAAAAGTATAAATACCTTCTGGTAATCACGAGCAGCAGCAGCCATTACATTTCCAAATGCTAAATTAGAGAGAGTTGATTTCACTGAATCCGGATCCATCTCCTCTCCTTTTTTTCACTTTTAGTAAGATAAATTTACTGTAACCTAAATCCAAAGAATACAATCAAAGAAGATTAAAATGCGAATTTAAAACAGAGAATCTGTGGATCGAACCATCGGAAATAGCTCAATTATACCCTCCGTTTGCTTTTGGTGCTAAAAATATCCTTGCCGTAACTTTTTGGGACCATAAATGCCTCAGAACTAACAGATGGCACAAGAAAACATACCCTGAGCAACATGGAAAAACAGAGTGGCTAGAAGACCCACACATAAATATCATCCAAGAAGCTTCAGAATAATCATCCCAAATACAACACAGAACCTTAAAAAAATTCACAGAATCGTGACTGATCCCTATGCTCGAAAATGACACCTTAAACAAAAAAACAGTAGTATTTTTCATCCAAATAACAGTACATTACTATTACGTAAAATAAAAATTTGAAATTACCCCAAAATCGTAAACCCTAGTCACAAATAACCCATGACCTAAACCAGCTAATAATCGTTGAAAAGCTTAACTAAGATGAAGGCTTACCTAATAGCTTCAGATAATGGTAAATAATCTTCAATTTATCTTGTTATTCCTCTGAAATCGCCTCTCTAAGACACCTTTACAAGGGTAAGTGAGAAAGGAGGCGTAAAATCATTTTACCCCTTTAATTAGAAGATCGGGTCGCGGGTTACCATTTAGGTTAATGGGTAAATTATATGGGTTAGTGAGTTGTCAAGTATTTTATTACACGTAGGATATACATGTGGCCATCTGTTAGTTTTGAGGCAATTATGGTCCCAAAAAGTAACGACAAGGATATTTTAAGCACCAAAAACAAACAGAGGATATAACTGAGTTATTTTTAATAGTTCGAGGATATTTTTGGATATTTTTCGTTTAAATTTTAACACATCTTTTTAATTGATAAAGAGAAAAAAGGACAAAATATGGTGCCTTATCTTTGGGGTTAGGTTCCAATGGTCCTTAAATATATTGCAGGCTAGGGATGTTCATAAAAACCCGAAAAACCAAACCAAACCAAGCCGACCAAAAAAACTGATATTTTTTGGTTTGGTTTGGTTTTGGTTTTGAAATTTAAAAACCGATCAAATTTGGTTTGGTTTTGGTTTTAATAAAAAAAAACGAACCAAACCGAATATAGGAGTAGCTATTTTAAATTTAGAATTACACCTATATATATATGTATACTTTTATACAAAGTTTCAAAAATTTTATAGTAAATATTAATCGTTTGCATTTTTAGTAAAGTTCTTTACCTTTACATTCTAGTTTGATTGGTAGTTTTCTTTTGTTAAGTGTAAGAATCTATTTCATGTTAAAAATAATATATTTTTAATTGAGTCCTTAAATTATTCATCACTATTTGATTCAATTATCATCAATATATCTTGGTAAATAATAGATTTCTCAAAGGGCAATTGATTTGATAGTGTTACGTTAAAAATGTGGTCGCCGAAATATGTGTTTGGTAGTGTATGTCTTATATTTAAGAAAAAAACCGATAAATAACCGAAAAAACCAAAAAATTGACATAAACCGAATCGAGAAAAAACCGACTTAATTGACTTGGTTTGGTTCTAATATTTGGAAAACCGACTTACTTGGTTTGGTTTTTTTTAGAGAAAAACCGATCCAAACCGAACCATGAACACTCCTATTGCTGGCCAATTTTGGTCCATATATTTGTTAAAAACGAGCATTTTTTGGTAGGGGTGTGTGTGAGCACGTGATTTTTGCTTCACGGAAACTACTCCAAAAGAAATCAAAAAAATAAAAATAAAACAAATGTCCTTTAGGTACAATTTTAAGAATTTGCGTGGCATCTTTGGATAATT